AGGAAACAAACTTTAAGATGGACAGCAGCCCATCTTCAAGTTTGTTTCCATTCCCTTTATGTGTAATCCATGTTAGAGGTCAATGTTCTTTTCTTTTCTTCTTTTTAAAAAAAATAGTAATCTTATTAAATTAACATTACTAATATTCCTTTTAACCACTCCTGGTAAGCTTGAAACGCTTGTGTTAGGAGTGGTTCACGACAGTAGTCAAATGGTGGATTCGAACCGACGACCTTTTGAGATTGCGATCCGCGCCCTGCCATTAGGCTACTGTCGCCTATAATTTTGATTAATTCAGCAATGAACTTTGATTGACTGCGGTGATGATGAAGATGATTCAAAAATGTGTAACTACTCGTATAGTTAGTCATTCCTTTATCGTTACAGCCTATCAAAAGTTTTTTGTTAGAAAGAGATGTTTTTTTATAGAAGCGGTTGCCCCCTCTTCTATAAAAAAACATCTAGCACCAAACAACGAGCATACGGTGACTACCGTTGCCCATGAACAACTGCAACACCAGGGGAATTGTAGATACGTTGCCAGCATTTTAGAAAGGAGTAACGCCCTGTCCGCACTGCGATATTTCACTGCACGTTTTTATTCTCGCAATTCTGTAACACATTGAATCTTATAGGAGTATCCGCACTGGCGGTAAAAAAAATCACGCGGAAAAAAAATCTGTGATTTGATGCTAATTGAACGCGATGCGGCGCGGATTTATTTCCGCGCGAATGTTTTGTACAGTATATAGTAGGTAGTTATGGCTATGGCCGCACTGCGAAATAAAATCCGCGCGTTTCGCTCAGTCGTGTACTGGCGCTATTGGCAGGATGTCGCGCGCTTCGTCTCCCGCCCGATCAGGAGCCGCAGAGGAGTTAGAAAATGACGACATTGATATTGAGCAATTAATCACGTTGATGCACAGGAGACCTCCCCTGTGGGACAAATTTAATCCAAAGTACCACGACAGAATATTGAAGGCGAGATTGTGGGAGGAAATATATCAAGACATATATTTTAGTTGGGAACAATGCAGTGTTGTTGAAAAAAAAAAACAAAAAGGTAAATATAAAGTATTTTTTTTAATTTAATGACGTTTACAAATTAAATATTTTTATTTATAACCTTTGATTATATACCTACATGTCTAGATTGAGCAATGCAAACAAACTTCGCGCAAAAACCGGCCCGAATTACGTGATATGTGTGAGTACCGCTCGTGTACTTAGGCCCGGTATACATTTTGAGAAGTGACAAGTGCGAGTGACAATGACAAGTGACAAATGACAAGTGCTTAGTGCGTGTGAACAGGCAGTGACAAGTGACAAGTGGGAATTAAATACCACTTGCCACTTGTCACTTGCCACTTGTCAGTTTTCACACGCACTTGTCACTTCTCAAAATGTAAACCGGGCCTTATTGTAGTCAAACTGTCAAGATGTGCGTGTTTAGGGATACTTGCTCCAAATTATTAACTTAACTTTTCCCCATTATTTAATAAGGTGTAGTTTAAACAAAATAGGTTAAATAAAGTAACTATTTCATAGATTAGTTTAATTTAATTTAGTAAAAACAAAAAATATAAACATAATTACAAATATTTTTCTTTTAATTTTTTTAAACAAACAAAATCTTATAAGTACTACTGCATCTTTTTATGATTTACAAAGATAAATAAATAAATATTAAAATAAAATATTTTTATTCATTAACAAAATGTTTAAAAATTACAAAAAGATGTAATGATATTTATAATGTGTCTCCATTGAGTTACAATACCTATAGAGTCACAATCTCTAACTGACAATACTCAAAAAAATGTCCGAGCGCCGTTCCATATACCTATATATTTTGATATTATATAGTTCAAAATGACATTTGCTCGAATTTAGACGTTAACCTGCTTGTATAATGTTCAAAGTCGCTCGTATGCAATGTCATCATCATTCACTCAAGGGCTTGCGTACGAGCAGGGAACAAGGCATCAGTGGAGACGCTATTTATACTAATATTATTAGGAGTTTATAATAATTGTGAAATATGAGTTTGTGAGTTTATATGTACCTAGGAGAACTAAACAACTGATTTCAAAAATTATTACACCAATTTCTTTTTAATTTACTTATCATATTAAAAAATCTTATAACACATTTTATAAGATTTTTTATATGATAAGTAAATGAAAAAAAATTGGTGTAATAATTAATAGTATTAATAGCACTAGTAAACCACTAAGGTTTGTGAATTAGGTACTAAAATGCTAAGTATTAAAATGTACGTTTTAGTGTGTATGTTTGTATTTTGTTCGTGCTCTAACAGATCGACGGATTCGGATGAAAATGTAAATAGCTTATACCCTAAATTATCACTTATGCTACCTACTTTTTATACCGGGAAACACGGGATCACGCGGGTCGCTGATAATTTAAAATAAAACAAAATTAATATTAGGTATAAGCGTTATATTACTTACTTAGTTTTAATAACTTACAACTAAAACTTAACCTAACCTAATTACCTTGAAACAATGTTAATTTATTGTAACGTTGCCTTTTACTTTGATTTTTAATTTTTTCAGTACATTTCTTTGCAATGTAATGAATTCTAATGTTTATGTACCGTTCAATGACTGCCCTCATTAAAATGGTTCTATGGTTTGTAAATTCAAATGCATGTTCAATTAGATCTTCCATAACTATTGCACCTACGAATGATTTCAGAACTGCAGAAATAATTTTTTGTGGGTTCAACTTAAGTCCACAACGTTGACAATGTCTTATAGTGTGCTCGGTTTTTTTGCATAAATTAAACACACCTTTGGACGAATAAAATAATCCTCCCATGTTTTTGATATCAATCAAGTTGTGGAATGTCATTTTTTCTTTAGCCATCAAAGAGTTGCAACAAACTTCGCACTTAACCTTTTTTAAAATGTGGCGTACAACGTTCCCAGAAATATACCCCACAATTTGATCAATGTATTCGGACTCAGATTCAGATTCGTCAAGCTGTTGCGACAATATGTCACAATTACTATACGTTTCAGACTCATGGATTGAAATAATTTGAGTATCGTCATTTTCGTTTTCAATTTCATGACGATAGCCAATTGTTGTATTATTTAAATTGTGAAGAGTGTTGTCGCCACTCAATATGGGAATATTTTCAAGTGGTATAGCATTTCCGGAAAATTTAGAACTCAGTTCCAGATGGGTTAATATTTTTTTTGTAAGCGGATTTTACATGGCGAGAATTGGGGTTGTTGTTATAGCCTCCTTGGCTTCTCAGATCACCAAAAAACAATTCAATATGGTCTTGGCTAGTTTTATATGTCAAAAGAAACGACAAAACTGATGTCTTAACCAGTGTTGTAAATAAGTGTTTTAAGCTTTCAAGGCATATAACCAAGCCCAGAGCTCCAGTCCCTGATTGGGATTTCCACAACGGTACGTTTTCTGTGGTATGCACAGTTCTTGTTTCGTTGTTTTTTTTAATGGTTCGTTTTCGCAAAATGTCAATATTTAGAGATAACAGATATTCTTTGGCATGATCTATAAATGAAAGAATTTCATCAGCGTTTGTTAAGCTCAAAGGCTTTTTGTAACCATAATTTTGTAGGTTTCGTGTGTTCAGAATGTCAAAAATGTTGTTGATGGTCATAATGAAGTCTGACGTCGGATGAGATCCATCGAATGTTGCTATAGCTAAGTCATTTTTACAAAATTGTATAGATTTAGCTACACTGCGGCTTAGAAGTTGTGTAGCTAATTTAACCTTCATGATCTCGTTCTTGAAGGCTATATGTCTGTGCGTCAATTTATTTGATAAGTGCAGCTGTTTTTCCTCCTGCAATTTGTGAAGCTCGGTGACGTACTTCCATTTGATGGCTTCGTGTTCCCCATTTTTTATAATTTTTTTTTTTTTATAATTTTTTAGATTCAAACACGTTCCTCATGAGTTTGACCATATGACATGCATCTAGGAATACCGCTACATTGTGATCGGCGGAAGGGTGTTTAAAAAAGGTTTTCATGGATTCCTTATTATTTAAGTTGCAGCCTAAAATTTTCATTGTTGCAATATTTGTCTTACAACCATCGAAAGTCAATGAAACTACTTTCATTTTAACTTGATGACATTTTCGCAGTGCAATGTTTATTAAGTTAGCCTTCATTTCTGCTGTTAAGCTTGTTATAAAAAAATAGCCCAATGGAATTTTGAATGAATCGTTAATAGCTACCAACATTATGACGTATACTTGACTAGCTATAACTTCAGATTCTTCAGATCCTGTACCCATATCCACTAGTCCTTCGTATCGTTTCCCCGTCCATATTTTCTGTTGCCTTATTGACATCTCATCTGCTACTAGGGCGCAAATATACTCTTTGTCTGAATTGTTGGATTTTTTCCTTCAATCTATCAAATGATTTCACTGTAAAACCTGGTTCTGCGTTAACACTCTTATACCAGTTACATAGCGTGTTTGGATGAGGCAAACATGTGTTATAGAGACGCCTTACATACTTATAGGCTGCCGGCGAGTAAAAGTGGAACGTAAGTGCGAATTTCCTAACAGCAGGCGGATATTTTTTGAATGGTCTCTTCTTTTTCTTTACATTTTTTATGTATAAGGCATTGAACATTTCGGTAACTTCTAAATTTTGAGATAATTCAGAAAACAACGACTGGTCAATGCCTTTCCTACTTTTTAATACTTTCAAGGCATTTTTTAAAGTTGTGTTCTTTTTAATAAGTCTTTTATTTTGTTTTTGTAGTCTATTGATCTGTCTGTTTTTGTTTAAAATCATTTTTTCGCATAAATTCAGCTTTCTCTTTATAACAGTTTTTCTGGGAGTGTCTAAAATAGACCCAATACTTATAGACGTAGAAGGGCTCTGTTCGATTTTTCTTGAATTTTCCTCCTGAAGCAAATAAAAAAATGATAATAACGAAATATTTTTTAAAATCATACAATTTTATGACGTAAATTCACTACCTGCAAGCATACAACGTTAGTTTGTTGGCATATTTCTTCATCGTTCCCAAATTCATTATCAATCTGGAATAAATAAATAGGAATTAATTTTGCCTTTATATTTTATTATACGTACTTTATTTACGGCAATTATTTATTTTTAACTTACATCAAAAGACAATTCAATGCTATCTTCATTTTGTTTAATTGTTTGCTGATTGTTGTCGTGATCTAAGTTTACGTGAGTGTTGTCTTGATCTGAACTATCGTAACTTCTAAGTTGTTTTTATTCAGCTGTAATAGAAATCATAGATCATACATTTATCTGCAAGACGTAAAATAAGCAATTTTTGAATAATGCACGCATTTTAAGAATACAAAATCGAAAGTTATAATAAAATATTACATTGTAAGCATTAAAAAGGAATAAGTTCTTACATGTAAAATGGGTTTTGCATTTTTGTTAAGCCTACTGAAACCTTTCGTTGTTGTATAAATGTCTGAAGCAGGAAAGTGATTAGAGCATACAACCGACCCTTTATATGGCTTGTAGTTTAATTCATTTCGGGCTTTTGCTATAATAACTGTCCATTCAGAGCATCTTATGGGGTTTCGAGGAAAACTAAAAACAAAAAAAAAACATATTGTAATTATACTTTAAAATAATAAAACTCTTTCGACCTACATTTTGTACGGAAAACTAAAAAATAAAACATTTAACAACATTGTAATATTAGTACATTAAGTTTAAAATCTGTAAAAATATTTATTGTATCAATCCACTCCATAGAACCGTTAGAACATAATTTGCGAGTCACTCTCGTACGCGTGACTATTTGTTTCTCTTTTACTCTTGCATATTTGTCTAACGTGTGAAAGAGAAACGTTATCGCGGCGCCGCGCGGTCGGCGGTGAGTGTTTTAGTTTGCTAATAAAATGAAAATTATTGAAATTTAAATGAAAACATGCACTGTGGATACATAAATACGTAAATTTGGTATGATACTTACCTAAAATATGAAACACCATCCTTTTTTCGCACGTGTCTGCTGTTATTTGGGCAGGAAATCACCGAACACTTTGGCATCGCGGACGTTGTACGAGGATTGTGGTCGCCTTACAACTAAACAAAAACTCTGCGCACTTCGCAGCGTGCGCCGAGTTTTGGCGCGGACATTTTATTTGTCTGTTTGTGACTCTATAGGTATTGTAACTCAATGTGTGTCTCCCATAGTTTCGCTAAGTTTCCCTAATATTAAACTGGCAACACAAGCTAATCAGACTACCCTAAATAGTAACGAATTAAAAAACTGTGTTTTCTTAAAATAAAGTAGTTAAATGATATAATTTACTTCTTTACTTCCCACGTAATTGCGATACAATTTGATAGCACAAACCGGCATAATTAATTATTTTTCGTGAGCTTATTATCCATAGGTGACTCAAATGACACTGGCGTAGGTGAGAAGCGAGTCTATCAATAATTATAGTAGACTTTTTTCGAGCCAATGTCAATGTGTCCATCTAGACATGTATATAATCAAAGATTTTTTGTTGGTCTGTAGTTTTATATAGAATATATACCTATAATATGGGTAGACGTTTATATTTTATATTTTTTCATATTGCCATGGAATTGACCCTTTCGGTGAATCAAAATATTCTGCAAAATATTGTCTATATTCAATGCTGGATATTCTAGATCTCACAGGAGTAGGGCGCAAACTTTGTAACTCGGTCCCATACAATTTGTCCTTAAACCGAATTCCATCATGTTTGCGTACGTAATTATGTAAAATGCAACATGCTTTAATTATTTGGTCACAAGTTGTTAGTTTTACATCTAAAGCCCGATGTAAAATTCTCCATTTATTAATAAGTATGCCAAAAGTGCATTCTACAAATCTTCTTGCTAGTGTGAGTCTGTAATTAAAAACTCTTTGAGTTACAGATAGGTTTCTTCTGGGGTATGGTCGCATTATGTGTTCTGAGAGAGCGAACGCTTCATCTCCAACAAAAACATAAGGCATTTTTCCCCATTTTCATCTTTTGGTAGGTAAGTTGGTGATGGAAGTATTAACTGACCACCTTCAAGCTTCTTTCCAAATGCAGAATTTTTAAAAACGGTAGTCACTACTGCTGCCGTAAGCACCTATGTCAACACTGATGAAATAATAATTTGCATCAGCCACCGCCATTAAAACTAAGGAATGATATTGTTTATAATTATAAAATTCAGAACCCGCGCCATTAGGCTTTTCGCACCTTATATGCTTTTCATCCACCGCTCCCAAGTAATGTGGAAAATGGGTTCTTTTATAGAAAAGTTCGGCAGTATGGGACCAAGTTCTTTCATCTGGTTCTGGCATGTATAAAGATTGTAAACAAGACCATAGTTTTTCACACGTGTCTTCTATAATTTCACCAAATGTAGAGATACCAATTAAATATTCGTAATATAGCGAATAGTAGCTATTTCCTGAAGCCAACCTGCAATAATTACAACAAAATATGTAACACCGATAATATAAAATTCAAACAAATTATAGTTTATTATTTATCTACACAACAATTACCTTATTTTATTTTCTTTTACAGGAGCTGATGTGCAAAAAAAATGGAAAAATCTTAAAGATACATACTTCAAGGAGGTGGCAGCTGATAAAAAGGTAGTTTCGGGTCAAGCCGCAAAGAAAAAAAAGACCATACATACACATGGGAGCACTTTAATTTTTAGCCACTCAAAAATCAATGAGAGATACGACAAATAATATTAAAGACACAGAAAGCACTAACAGTAATGCCGAAGACCTTACAAATCAATCCGACGAAGATACTGACACAGAAGCTTCACGAAATAGAAGACTTAAAACGAGCATGCGTAAAAAATACTAAAATTCAGAATAATAGCGATGATGAGTTATTGAAATTATTGCAGGATAATACTTATGATGAGGATGTTTCATTTTGTGAAATGATCATACCAATGTTCAAGAATCTCTCAACAGACCAGAAACATTACGCTAAAATTGAAATTCTGAATGCACTTAACAGAACAACTAAATATTCACCACAAAATTTTATACCGCCTAGAGTCAGATCCGCTATGTCTCAATATCAATCATCATCATCATCGTATTCATCTTACAACCCAAATACGCCATCACCCTACCCAAATACTATCCGTCAATCTCCTTCTCCCCAAATTTACCAATACCCACCATCTTTTCCTCAATCTCCGCCTGATCCGTCTCCTCAAACACAATACACACCATCTCGTAATTCAACTGTCATTCCTCAATCTCCACCTGATCCGTCTCCTCAAACCCAATACACACCATCTCGTAACCCAACTGTCATTCCTCAAACTCCGCCTGATCCGTCTCCTCAAACCCAATACACACCATCTCGTAATTCAACTGTCATTCTTCAAACTCCGCCTGATCCGTCTCCTCAAACCCAATACACACCATCTCGTAATTCAACTGCCATTCCTCAATCTCCGCCTGATCCGTCTCCTCAATCCCAATACTCACTGTCAAATTTTCCAAATACTTCATTTAATCATTCTACATTCGTAGTAGAGGGGAGTGGTTTTGACATGAAAGATTATATTTTATTTAAATAAAAGTTACATTGCTTATAAATAAATGATGCTGTATGATTAAACCTTGTTTTTATTTACCTCCGTCAGTTATTAAATATACTTTGGAATATTACAATATCAAATAGGAGGGGGGGGGGGCTGGGGAGGATAAATTAAGAGAACGTGAAAATTTAAAATAAATGGTATTATCAGCGCCAAAATGACAGAGATGCATTAAATACATCAAAGCATTTGATAAAAATCAAACTGAGCTCAAAGAAATTAGGGTGCACTTTCAATTGTTTCGAAGAAACAATCAAAAGAAAGGTGCTCTTTCTTTTAATAAGATTGACTTTTATAAAATGCTTAGATATATTTTAGCTTACACTGCTGTGCAGGCTGTACCTAGTACCTATAAGAATGGAACATCTTACCTTAGAGTTATCGAGAGTCTCTCTTCAGCTGAAATTGCTTTTCTCCAATTCGTATCTTGATAGGTAATAGCCCGACCAACTAGTCGTAGTAAATTATCGAATGATTTTGTAGTCATTCTGTAATATCCGAAAAACTTTTTATTATATTCTCGCAGCTCTTGATATTTTGTGTAGAAAAATCCTTTCATAGGTCTCAAGGCCGTAAATGGGTGAATCCAATGTTCATGACATCATACGATAGGTTTGTCACGCCGCCGCCGCCGTAGTATTAGGTAAATTAAAAATTTTCTTTTATTCATTTTAGACGTTCGTCTCAATCGGGAACTGCATCGAACCTTGCTACATATTTATTTATCTATGCATCGAACTGACAAAAATCGTACGAAATTTTATTCGCAGTGCGTAATAAGTGTAATTCCGATCACGGAATATAATACGCGAGAATAAAAATCGCGCGGTGAAATATCGCAGTGCGGACAGGGCCTAAGCTCTTTTCTTAAAGATCCCTATCATGTTGATCCGCTAAAAATTGCAGCAGGTAAGCGATTCCAAACAGAAAACGTCGTACGTGGAAGAAAACTCCTAGTAAAACGAACTCCCAGACTGCCAAGCATCCAGATTGTGTGGATGGTAACGTGAGTTTTGTCACAATCTGCTTTCGTGAATTTTGGCGGCTGGAATTAATCTCTGAAAATCGACTTACCCAGTATATTACCACATAAAAACTTGTATTTTGGCATCCTAAAACAGTTCTCAAAATTCACATTTAATTGAATGGTCGCAAGTTTTAAATATCAGGGGTCAAAGGTCACAAAAATCGATAATTTTAAATTTTTTGCAAATATCTCGTTTTCTATGGGTTTTACGCTATTTGTATTTATTATCAATATTGTAGAGAATTAAATTCTCTACAACTTTTTTTATTTAACATTTTTTTTATACTTACCTTCAACTGTTTTCGAGATCTAGAAGTTAATAAAGAAGAGAATCTAAAAGTTAATAAAAAATGATAATTATATGTTTAGCAATAAATTATAACTTTAATATTACGAGTTTTTGATCGAGACTATCGGTTGACCTCAGATAATTCTCTGACCGCGCGCTCTAGGCCCTCTATCTCAAGGAGGAGTTTTTATGTTGTAATATACTGGGTATGTCAATTTTCCGAGGTCAACCCCCTATAATGATTGGACTATAGAGAACTCTTCGTTGTAAATCGTACAAGACATACGACGATGCTGCTAGATTTGCCCTAACAAAAATAACAGGATTATATGGAGTAGTAAGTTCCCATATTATAACGCTCCTATATGACAAATTGACCTACACTAGTCAAAAAATATGAAAGAACCCTCTAGCCTATATACTGTCTTTTCTTACGTCGCTATTACACGGTGAAATTTAAGTAATATATTATTATTTAAATCGTTATATTACTACTTCAGTTTTTCTACCACGTGTTATTTAGGGTATTAATTTATTGCGCGGTACCCCAATTATTTATCTAAATTATAGTAGCCTAAATTACCACTTATAACATCAGTTATCTGCCAGTGAAAGTCCCGTCAAAATCGGTGCCGTTTCAGAGGTTAACGGGAACAAACAGACTGACAGGCAGATAGACAAAAATTTTAAAAATTGTGTATTTTTTACAAATACCGTATATACTTGCACACGAATTTAGTAAAAAGCTGTTAATTTGAGATTACATACAGCCACTTCAGTTTTATTGATTGGTTTAGATATATCGATTTCAAATTATGAGTAAAGTCGAGTATTAAGCCTGGGTTTCAACCGTTCTGTAAAAATTACGTGGAGCACTAGTCTCTGACCTACCAGGCGGCAGATAATATTTAATCGTACTTCCTAATATTACACACACATATATATATATATATATATATATATATATATATATATATATATATATATATATATATATATAATAATGTCCTCCAGACCGAATTTCGGTTATGGCGGCCAACCTCAACGGAAACTAGCCATACACTTGAGCACTATATCCTGTCACAGGACAGGATTATAGTGCTCAAGTGTATGCGCAAGCACAGGTGCACTCTCTATTTCATCACTCTTAAATTCCGATGGGACGGTAAACCGACACGACCGGAGAGAGATAAGGCGCGGGACCAATGGCTTTAAGTGCCTTCCGAAGCACGGGGGTGATACACCGCCAACTTCCTGACTCCGGGCAGCTATTGAGAATTTCTTGACGGAAAAACTCAATAATTAATTTTTTCTCCCGACCCGAGATTCGAACCCAGGACCTCATGGTCTATTATGGTCTACTACAACCACTAGACCAACAAGGTATATATATATATATATATATATATATATATATATATATATATATATATATTAAAGAAGGTATCCTGAGTAATTTATCCACCTATCAAAGCACAGCCCAAACCGCATTACGTAGTTATCTGAAAATTGACAGCAGCTGCTTTTTATAACGTAGGCATCCACTAACAAATGATTTAGAAAAATTGAATCTCTATGGGGATGAAACATAGTGTCATAGTTTGTATGAACCTTTTAATTTTGGGGCGATTAACTTGAAACTTATAAAGGTACTCTATATTACACGATGAAGCTATATTATGGTTATAGCACGAATGGGCTGTCTCAACCGGGGTAAGACCTGCATGAAGATATTACAACGTAGTTTCATTTTATTATGTAGGTAATTAACTAAGATACGATTTTGAAAAAAATATTCAAACCGTCAGAGGGTGAAATAAGGTGTTAAAGTTTGTACGATACTTTTTATTTTACGGGAAGTTGACTTTTGACTACCGTTATTTTTATTATTATACTTTTACGTTTATTATTGGAGTATTAAATTAAATTAATACGTAGTTTTTCATTTTTCTAGGTAACGCCTTACCCAGTTACTTCTTTTAAACTACACAACCAACAACGGATTTTAATATGTTTTTCACTGTCATTTAGAAATGTTTTATGGAAGGTTGGTATGTACAATACATTCTAAGTTTGAATAGTAGAAAAAGTTCAATATTAACTAAGTTTGAATAGTAGAAAAAGTTCAATATGTTAAGTCGTCAAAAAATCGATATAGGGGCGCCTACTTCGCTGGTTAAACTTTAAGAGATACCTCAATATAATGTACTAAGGAATCGTAGTTCTTCAAAAAGTCTAAACCAAAAGTCCGCGCTAGCATAATAATATGTCTATCTGCTAAGTTTGACTCACAGTTACCATTTTTATGTTTTAAATATTAATTAAAAATATTTGCTTATTTGCGAAGATGTTTTCTATAATTCAGTGTTAACATTAATCTTAACAAATATGTGAGTAAACTTGGGCATTTCGTCTTAATGATAAAACAAGTCCTTTGAATTATGAAAAATTATTCCTTGAATTATATTATATCATTTAAATGAATACTTTAGAAGATATCACAGTTTCAAAATTACGTGCAACCAAAAAAAAATCACGGCCGGCATGTCTCCGCCGCGGCTTCCTTCGTTTCAGCACATGAAACATTTCATGATCAGCTATGTGTAGCCCTTTCGGGTGTCACTTACAGACAAAATCTGTTCATATTGTGTAAGGAAAAGTCAGCTGTAAACATTGTATATAGACATAATGTAACAACTGGCAATAATGATAAAACTTTGACAATAAAAGCTAAATTATCCAAAGTTGTTAAATCTGTAGGCCGTGGACAAATTTAGATCTATGTTTCACGATAATACACGATCATATATTTTATTACTTAGCGCATTTTCGTAATAATGTCAAGTGACAAACTTAATTGTTCGAACAGTATTTTTTAATAATGATTTCTTAAATTTACGCGAACACTACACATTGAAAAAAACTAAATTTACGGATTTTATCGCGTTTATTTCATTACTTTTACTTATTTTTAATTCCCGACGTTTCGGGTGCTTTACAGCACCCATGGTCACGGGAGCGACTGAGATGTTTGACGTCCCAATGTCCCAAGGTAGCCGGACTAACTATGACATTGGGACGTCAAACATCTCAGTCGCCCCGACCATGGGTGCTGTAAAGCACCCGAAACGTCTGGAATTAAAAATAAGTAAAAGTAATGAAATAAACGCGATAAAATCCGTAAATTTAGTTTTATTCAGTATTTTTTAAACACATGTAAATTAAACGCGTGTGCAGCCGGGGCGGTTGCTACTAATATTATAAATGTAAAAGTTTATTTTTTTTTACGCTTTCACGTAAAAGCTACTGTATGGATTCCGATGAAATCGTGTGCTTCCGTTTCATTCCGATAAAAGGATTTATATCCCGTAAGCTAATTTACAATGTTGGTCTATACCAGGCCAATGAAGTCGCGGGCGGAAGCTGGTAAAAATAAAGTGGATTATAGTTAATATTGGTATTTAGACAATAAAACGAAGTAGGTGATTTTATTTCAATCATGTTTATGTTCTGGATGTGCGAGAAATTCTCGCGATTTCAGTTCGAGTCATTCGAGGTTTGTTGGTCAAGGGCCAAAAAGTTAATAGTCGAATTCTTTTTATTCAATTAGGATAATATATGTATAACTTTTTCGCACATCGGAGCTGAGGAGCCCCTTGAGCT